AACCACCGTCCCGGTTAGTTCACTCCTTTCCCACCTTTTCCCGGGCCCTCCCTGTCGATGCCAGGACCAGCTGACCCCTCCCCACGCTGCCCCCACGCCAGCCTTACAGCAGCCTGAACCGCCACTACCCTTCTAAGGGGTGTCAGGTGAGACTCGGAACTAGGGTGACTTGTCCAGTCTCCACCCTCGTCTCAGGTCTCACCTACTCAGTTCCTCTTCCTGGACTCAAACCCGGGCTGAGGGCACAGATGGGTGTAGCCTCTGGGGGTTCCTGTGAGGGGAGGGCCTCGCTAACTTGCTCACACCAGGTCCCCAGTGAGACAGAGGGGCTGGACTGGGAGCCCCTGTCCTCGGGCCTCAGCTTTAGAGTCTGGGGGCCCCAGGGAGAAACCTGGAAGCCCTCAGTGTTTGTGGCTCAGCCCACCCAGCAGGGATTCACCGCTGCATCCACATTCCCCTCTGTCCACGCCAGGCCTCGACCCGGCCACTGGGCCCACATCCCCACAGACCCGAGGGAGCCCGGGTCAGTCAGGGCCAGAGCCAGCGGCTCCACTTTCTCCCAGTACAGTTCCTGGACCTCACCTCAGGCTCCAGGTTCATAGTTCAGTGAGAGACAAAATTACTGCCGATATTTGCTTCCTGACTTTCCATCACCAGATCAGCGGCTGATGGAAGATTCCAGAACCCCTGAGTTCCAGGTCCCTGGAAACTGACGTGCGCCAGGCACACAGACCTCATCTGCATCCGCTCACTGAACCCTCACCCCAGCCACACCAGGTGTGTTACTCCTCCATGTCCTGGATGGGGACACTGAGGCCCAGAGGGGTCTGGTTCCAGCCACAAAGCACGTGGCCACGCCGGGCGAAGCAGGCGGTGCACCCCAAGCCCCCCGCCCACAGGCAGCACCTCCCACTCTACCCGGGCCCCGGGGCCACCAGGAGACCCTCAGGCGGGCTCTGCGTGCTCACCTGGGAGGCAGAAAGCACGGCCCACCTGACGCCATGCGTCTGCGGGGAAGAGCCAGTGGATGTGGGTCCAGACAGAGGCCTGAGTCAGCCCCACGCACTCCGTCCTGAGCCCCGTAACTTACTCCACAGATCATGTTGTACCTACTCTTCGCTCTGTAAATTCTGAAGTGGACTTTGGCCAAAAGCAACAAAACTATGACCTAGAAAATTCAAAAGGCCTTTTGAAATTAGGAGCCCGGGGCGCTGGCCTGATGTGCAGACGAGGACAAGGTGGCTGAGGCAGCAGAAGGGAAAGCAAAGTGGAGCCGCCGTTCCCTCCCCATGGCTCCTCCGGGTTCACGCTGAGCTCTGTGCGTCCAGAGCCCCAACCCGGAGAGGAGAGGAGACAAGGGGGTGCTGGGGGGTTGCCCACCAGCGGGAGGGGCCCTCGCAGGGTCTCTTTGCCTTGGCGACCCCCAGCCCCTCCAGCCAGGAGAGAAGGGAGCGCAGGGACAGCTGCCCACCTACCAAGGTCATGGGCTCTGAGCACTGCTTCTAAGTTCTCCTCACACCAAGGCCATCGTGGTGGCATCGTTGACAGTACGTATCGCCACTTCCACCAAAGAGACCAGTTTCTCGTTAGAATGTTACCCTCTGCTCTGCATCTTGACTTGAGGGCTCCCACCCCTGCCCGAGTGACGGTCCCTCTCCACTCATAATGCATCACGGGCAGGGACAGGAAGTGCAAGAGAAGGTCGTGGGGGAGGGGATGCGTGTCCCTGAGGCCAGCGACCATGCTCACTCCGTGACTCAGACCCTGATAGTGAACCTGATTAACAACGTCTCCTCCATCGTGGGGCGTGGGTGGTTAGGACGGTGGTGGCAGAGGTGGACCTGGACGGGGAAGGAGGGAGAAGCTCCTCTTCCCCTCCATCATCCCAGTTTGTGCAGATGTCACTGGTGCCTCATCCTCTCCCCATTTTGTCACCCTGAGCCTCAGTTTTCCCATCGATAAAGTAGAGGTGATTGGTATCACACGAGGGGATGCCATGAGAAAACTCCTGACCCAGCACATGGCACAGAGCAGATGTTTAACAATTGGATTCTACTGAAGAGAGGCGGTTCCTTCACCAGCGTGGGTGTTTCTTGATCACCTGATGACCGTCTGGTGGTCACTTTGGTTTCATCACCAAAGTTGAGGGGAACCAGGCTTCATAGATGCGTTGGGACAGTCACTGGATGGGGTATCAGAAGTCCATGTTCTAGTCCCAGGTGTCCCGTGGACCAGCTGCGTGTCCTGAGGCAGGTCCCCAGCTCCCTTGGGGTGGGAGGTCAGGGGAGGGCTGACTGTGGTAAAGGAAGGTTGTCCCTCCTGGAAAATGGGACCAGCCTAGATCTCTGACTTTTTAACAAATCATTTTGTTAAGGAAGAGCTGCCACTAGATAACCATTCCGCCCCCCTCCCCCACTCCACCTTCCCCATTTCCTAAACAAACCCTAGAAGGTCACTGTTGGTCCCCATGGAGTTAATGGGCCTGGACCTGCCTCTTAATTTAATGCAAATCCCAGCCTGCCTTATTGTGCAGGAGTTTCGGTTCATTTGTACTTTCTTGGTGACACAATCTGTCCCCGTCTCCAGTCGAGTCTCTAATCCCTGCAGTTTCCACGGTGCTAGTAATTATGGGAAAAAACGTCTGAAGCACAGAAATTCTGCACCCTGTCTATGAGATTACACAGTTTAATGGAGTTTATTAAATTTATTCTCCCGTAGCCGAGGAGATTAAACTCACCGTGCAGTTCCAGAGGGCAAAACAAGGACCAGTTGGTAGAATCTTCCAGCAGGTAGGCTGGAAATCAAAGGAAGAGCACTTTCTGATGTCGGAGCTGCTGGGCATCAAGTGAGCTGTCCCAGGCGGTCAGAAGCAAGGCCAGCAGGGTCCAGGGCCTGGCGTGGTCCCTGTAGGGTGTGGTAAAGAGCATGGGCTTGTGGGTCACACCTGGGTCCATTGCCCGATTCCCACTTCCCAGGGGTTTAGAAGAGTGGGTTGATATTTCTAAGCCTCTCTTCTCCCATTTCCTCCTCCCTAAGATGCTGACCACCCTGCCAAGCTGCTTAGCACAGAGCAAAGCCAGGGAGAGGCCACACTATTGCTTTGTTATTTAGAGCTGGGAGGAGGTTTCCTCAGGAAGGGATATCCCCCAGACACCCTGGCCTCCCCCGTCCCACAGAGCTGGGGGGCTTTGAGGAGAAGCAGGCCCCCTCACCAGGCCCCATCCTCTCTCTTTTTGGGAGCCTGATTGCCCTCGGGGACCTTGCTGTCTGCCCTGCTCTCCCATTGCCAGCGGTTTTAGAGCAATGGCCCCCAGCACCCTGACCTCGGGGCAGCCTGTGGGAGTCCAGTGTTGCCTCTGATAAGGGGCAGTCACCGCTGCCTAATTCTGAGGTTCACAGTTAGGGTCTCCATGCTCACAGGCCTGAGCCCCATCCTCCGGCAACGGCTTTATCTGTGATAAGCAGGAGGCCCCTACTCCATCTGCCATGCCCTGGATCTTCTGGTGGGTTCAGAATCAGGAACGCAGACACTTCTATCAGGTCCCCTAAGCCCCATTATTATTATCCTAAGGGCTGAGAGCTTAGGTCACCACTGACAAAGCAGCTGACCTGAGAGCTCTGTTTCTAGAACATCACTCCTCAAAGGCAAGAACCACGACACGCGTTCTCACCACTGTAACTCCAGCCCCAGCACAGAGCCCAGCACAAAGTAGATGCTCAATAAATAGTGTTGAGTGTGTTAATTTTACCACCGTGACAAGGATGTGAATAAAGGCTCTGGGAGCACAGAATGGGGACACATAACTCATGTGAGGGGAGGGGGCGAGCTGGGAAAGGGATGCTTCCTGGGAAGCTGGCTCTTTGAAGTCAGTCTTCAAGAGGACGTGGGAGAAACCATTCAAGTCAGAGGTGACAGTGAGACCAGGTGTTTCAGGAACCAGAGGGCAGCTGCAGGGTCAAGAGTAATTTGTGAAAGTAAAAGGAATGCAGTTGAAGAGTCTGCAGGAGCCACATGATGGACCATGAAGTCAGACCAAAGAGTCCGACAGGTTCCTGAGGTGAGCAAAGCATTGCTTCTCCCTAATATTTACAGGACATCTGCTGTGCACTAGGCATGGTCCTAAGCACCTTGCCTATGTGAACTCATTCAATAAGAAGCCTAGGAGGAAGGGGTCACCATCTTCTCTGTTAGCAGGTGTGGACACGGAGGCACAGGGAGGTTAGGTAAATTACCAAAGGCCACACAGCCATTAAGCGGTGGAACTGGGATTTGAACCTGGGTGCACAGGTCCTGGAGACCACTCTGTCAGCCACTACACTGTTCTTCAGCAGAAGTAATAGAAGGGTCGTGCTGATAGTTCAAAAAAAGTGCTCTGAAGCCTCTGGGGACCTGATCTGAGTGTCAGAAGAGCTGAGCCCTTCAAATCATTCAGAAGAAGGAAAGGGAAGAGAAGTGGATCAACACTGATGGTGGAGCATCCGCGTGGCAGCCTCTCTTATATCAGAGCTTTTCAGAGATTCTCAATATCCCAGTGAGTCCAAATCTCATGTCAAGCCTGTCTGTTCCTGAGGACCAAGACTCTCCTCCCTGACCCAGAGACACCAGGTGGGTGGGTGGCACCAATAGGGGGAGAGACCAGCAGTGACCAATGGGAACCATGAGGCACCAGATAAACAAGTTCATACTCATAAGATAGAAGAATTGGATCAATTCCTTAAAAACTCCAAACTATCAGAGCTAAAGCAAGAGGAAATAAATAACCTGGATAAATCTATAGCCATCAAACAAATTAAATTCATAATTTATAAAAAAAAATCCTGAAAAAGAATTCTTCAGGCCCAAGAGATTTCACTGGAGAGTTCTATGAAATTTTTAAAAAGGAACAAGTACCAATTTTATGCAATATCTTCAAGAAAATAAAGAACATCTATACAAAACCTACATCTAACTTACTTAGAGGTGAAATTCTGAATGTTTTCTGCCCAAGATTAGAAACAAAGCAAGGATATCTGCTCTTATCTCTCTTATTTAATGTAGTATTGGAATTCATAGCCACTGCAATAAGGTAAGAAAAAGAAATAAAAGGCATATCATTTGGAAAAGAAGATATAAAATGATCCCTTTTGCAGACAATGGGTTATCTGTGTAGAAAATTTCAAGGAATCTGCAAAATATCTTCCAGAACTAAGTGTGTTCAGGTTTTGGGATACAAAATCAATGCACAAAAACCAATTATATTTCTATAAGTTAACAAAACACACAGACACCAAAATTAAAAACACAGTACTATTTACAATTGTATCAAAGAAAATGAAACATTTAGCTATACACTAAACAAAACATGTACAGAACCTATATGCTGAAAATTGTAAATTATACATGAAAGTAAGTGTAAAAGACCTAAATAAACAAATGGAGAAACAGACTGTGCTCATGGATTTGAATGCCCAACCTAGTAAATATGTCAATTCTCACCAAACTGATACACAGGTTTAACACAATTATTAAAACCCCAGCAAGTTTTTTTTAATAAACATAGACAAGCTTATTCTAAAATTCATATGGAAAAACAGAGACTCTAGGACAGCTAAAATAGTCTTGGCAGGGAAGAAAATGGGAGGAATCGCTGTATGTGATGTTAAGGGATAGTATATAGCTACATTAATCAAGACTCTGAGGTTTTGGTAGAAGGATAGACACATAGATGAATGGAACAAAAGAAAGAACCCTGAAATAAACCCACACAAATACGCTCAATTGGTTTTTGACAAAATGCAAAAGCAATTCAATGGAGGAGGGCTAGCCTACTCAACAGAGCTGCAGCAATTGCACATCCATAAACAACAGAATTAACCTTGACACACTTATACGGAACTCAAAAAGGATCATATACATAGATGCAAAACATGAAACTTTAAGAAGAAAATATAGGAGGATATCTTCATAACCTGAGGCTAAGCAAAAAGTTCTTAGACTTGACACCAAACATACGAATCATAAAAAGAAAAAATGATTAGGTTGACCTCATTGGAATTAAAAACTTTGCCTTTGTGAAAGCTCACTGGAGGAGAATTCTCTGAAAATGTGAAAAAGGCTTTTGTCCTAAAGAAGCAAAGTCAGGAGACACAAGAGTGTGAGCAAGGATGGTGGGGCTTTCCAGGAAAGTGTTGGTGAACTTGAACCAGGCAAGACAGAGGAAGTCAGAAAATGTCTTCACGCTACACCTGGATGAAGGCTTTTCTTTCAGTTGCTTAATGAAGAAACACTGGAAATGTATGTAGAAACTTCATTATTTCGTGCATTCATTCATCTGCTCAAGCATCCTATATTTATTGAATACCTTCTACGTGCCTCCTATTTTTCTATGTACTGGGACCAGAAATGGACAAGGTAGATAAGGTCTGTGTCTCCATCTGGAGCCCTGTGGTCACCACAGCAGAGGAAGAGAGGAACAGAGGCATAATGCCCACTCTTAACCGCCTCAGACCAGAAATGAGTGTGTTACTTCTGCTCTCAGTCCACCGGCCAGAATGAGTCACATGATGACAACCTCATGGCAAGAGATGCTGGGAAACACAGGAATATTGGGTGTCTCCTGTCTTGAGCACAAACTCCATGGAGGATTATGCAAAGTTTTTTGCACAAAATTACCCATATAGTAAACTGCTTATAGTTTTCATCTCATAGGTTGACTTGACTTCATCTCTCAAGGAATTCTTCAAGGCATTTCTTTAATCTATGAGTCAGGAAGCTACTGCAGGTCATGCCACACCCAGCCACATGGATGGGAAAGTTACCACAGGATGACCACGGTTAAGATTCCCTCAGAAAGAGCCACACCAGCAAGAAAGTCCCTGGAGAACATCACCTCAGCAAGGCTTCACTTTTCCTCTGGCTGACAGACGGCTCAAACACCACCTTTCTCCTGGATATGACAAGATGGGCAAAGAGAAACCTGACTGAGGTGAGGGCTGCATCTCTGAGAAAAGCCTCATTAGTGAGAAGGATCCAGGTGCTGGCTCTGGAATGTTCCATGACAGTAACTGAGTGGCCAGGCTTGGAGCCTGCATTAAATGTGACAGCAGGCAAACCAGGAGACGTGGCCAGTTCATCACATCTCCTCACCCGAGGGGTGTTAACATGTCTGAGTGACCAGGACCACCTTCCCAGGAGGCTGAGGAACCAGGGACTCAAAGGGCATAGAGTCATGGGCCCAGCAGGGACCCGGAACAGTAGGCAGTCCAGGCTCTTCATCTTAACAATGACCCACGCTCCTGAGATGCTCCCACTTTCATTTCCTAATTACTTCAAAAAATCCACTTAAGTGGTGTCATGGATTTAATTGTGTCCCTCATAAAGATAGAGTGAAGCCCTAACCCCAGTACCTGTGAATGAGGCTTACTTGGAAATGGGGGCTTTGCAGATATAATCAGATTAAGATGAGGTCATTAGGATGAGCCGTAATCCAACAGGTCCCGTGTTCTTGCAAGAAGAGGAGAATTAGGACACAGAGATGCACAGGGAGACACCACGTAAAGGTGGAGGCAGAGACCGGAGTGATGAGTCTACAAGCCAAGGAAGGCCCAGGGCTCTGGAAGCTGGAAGAGCAAGGATGACTCCTCCCCAGGGGCTTCGGAGGGAGCACGGCTCTGCTGACACCTTGATTTGGGACCTCTAGCTTTCAGAACTGTGAGACAATAAGTTTCAGTTGTTTTAAGTCGCTCAGTTTGTGACACTTTGATACAGCAGCTCATGGGAACGAATACAGCAGGTTGTCACCCCCATTTGTCAGGAGGGTAAACTGATCTCCAGAGGGGGCCATGCCCAGCCTAAGATCACACAGCCGTAAGTGAGGAGCAGGTCGAGGAAGCAGGGCTCTGGCCACCCGTTCTCTAGGGCTGCTCAGCGAAAACGTGAGCTCCTCCAAGTGAGACAGGCTAGGACTTGGGACCTGGGACCTAGAACCCTGGGCTGCTGTGCTTGCACCGGGACGGAACAACAGAATGCAAAGAAACTATAAGGGACTAGAAATAACTGTGTGCATGCGCAAATTATGAACAACAAGATACAAAAAGACCAAAAGCCCAGCTGCCTACCACTTCTGAGGTGTTGGGAGCAAAAGCAGGGCACTTACTGTCCATGATCCCGGCACACAGCACCACGGAGAGGGTGGGCAGACCGCCTAAGCCACCTCTCCAGCCCCACCCCGGGGCCTGCCCCGACCCTCGTCCCATTTAAGGGCCCAGCTCGCACCCCTCCCCAAGGAGGGGAGAACCAGTTACTTGTTTTTGCTCCCTCGTGCTGCAGCCCATGTCCCAGTAAAGCCTTGCCTGAATTTCTCATCTGGCCTCTTATCAATTTCTATTGATTAAGGAGGCCAAGAAACCTGATCGGTAACACAAGTGCCCAGAAGAGATTTTTGTCCTTGCCAGAGCTCTCTTCATTGTGAGGAGTGAGTGGATCTGTTTTCCCCTCCCAGATTCAAAAGGAAATTATAGCCCAGTTTTGAGGCTGACATCTCATTGACTACTTAAGTGTGGATGGCATGTGGGTGACTGAGAATTCAAGGCTGAGCGAGGTGGGGCCACCTCAGATTCCTGGAGCAGATCCTAAGCACACAGAGGGAGGGAGTGGCAGGGATGACCACACCATTCTGGTGGGATGTGTCTTATGTCAGCCCCATCCCCCCACCACTGCCCAGTTTAATCCTCTGCCTTCTGAACATGCGCCAGAACTTCCCCACTCACCACTCACCATTCCTTCCTTCAGCAAACACTTACTGAGCACCAACTGTGTACCAGAGTCTGTGCTTAGTGCTGAGGGGCTGGTAGTGGGCAACACTGGGCCCCTATTTCGAATTTCATTATATTCACAGTGAAATGAAATTCAGCACAGAAACCCACGATGATCATATGATACACATGGAGACTAAATGCAATGCAGACTCAGAGCGGGGAAGCCTGAAGCAGACTGGGGAATGGGGTGGGACAAGCATCCATGAGGAGGGGGGCTGAATTCAGTGTTGGTGACTCAGAGATGCACATCAAAAGAGGAAGGAGAAAGAGGCGCTCTAGGTAGAAGGAACAGCACATGCAAATGTGCAGAGTCATGGCCAGCATGGGAACCAGGCCACAGTAGTTGGTTCAGGAGTGGACACATGACTCTCCAAAGTGCTTTTTTTCTGCTGAAGCTCCTGGGGGCCTTCAAGAGGAGGCCCACTCAGAGGAAAGCAGAGCCAAGAGATGGGGTGTAATGGATGCCTGACAACTTCATTTAAGTACCTGGATCCAGCTGTGCCTGAATCCCCTTGAACTTCTCTGTTACATGAGCCTATAAATTTCCGAGCGTTAAACTTAAGCCAGTGTGAATGTCTGTTTCTTACGGTAGAAATGGACCCAATTAAAACAATTACCCCCATTTTCCCACACCACCATCAGGGGCAGTCAGTCACATGCTGGTCAGTTACCACCCAGGGGTTCAAGGCCAGACCTGCTGTTTCTAACCGTGATGGGCTTAGGGAAAGCTGTAGGAGTTGGAGGCAGAGCAGCACAGTGACGGGCCTGCTGCAGGTCAGGGGAAGAAGACCTCCAGATGCAATTTACAGGATCTGAAATCGCTCAGCGAGCCAATCTAATTTGAGATGGCCTGTGTGGCAGACAGTTTCCACGATTTCCTGGAATCTTCACTGCTCACCTCCCGTGACTAGTCCGACCATGACAGTTCCGTTATCAGGTCTGGCAGGCCTGAGATGTCACAGTGCCCACCCGCTACATGAAGCAAGGAGGTGGGGGAAAAGTCATTTCGCTCCCCTAACCCCCGGGGAGCAGCTCCTCGGCAGCCATCCAGATGTCCTGCGGCGGGTGGGAGATTCTCCGGGAGGCCAGGGGCTCAAATGAACCTTGACAGGTAATCATCCCCCAGAGCAGCAGGTGGGTGAGTCCTGATTTGCGCTCCCAGGGAGAGAAAGAGGTGGACTTGCCTCCACCACCTCCCTAGGACTCCAGCCTGGAAATTGCTGGAAACAGTGCCAGTGAGGGGAGGCCTCCAGGTGCTGTGAGATCAACTTTCTGTTACAGCCCAGGATCCAACACCAAGGAGAAACTGATGTCTCTCCTTCTAGTCCCAGAGCTGCTGAGGGTAGGAATCGAATCTCGTTCACGTTGACCTCCCGTGACCTAGTACAGCACTGGCCTGTTGTAAGGGCTTATTCCCTATTTCTTGTACACCTGGATAAGTTATAATACATAAATATAACTAATGAGTGGATAAGGTGACACGTGGGTCATGGAGGCCCATTCAAGCCTCGGGAGCACAGAAAGGGGAGGTGTCAGCCCCCCCTCACCCTAAATGGGCGGGGGGTGGTATCATCCAGAAAAGCCGATGCTCTAGCTAGTCTTGAAGAGACATCCTGGAGAAGGAGCATGAGCTGGGCCCTTGAAGGATTTGGAAGGATTGGGAAGGGTTTGGGAACCAAGGAGAAGAGGGGATGTGTTCTAGGTGCATTCTGTGGGTGTGTGCGTACGTGCCTGGCGTGTGCATGTGTGTGCATTTATGTGTGTATGTGTGTGGTGTGTGCATGCATGTGAGTGAAAATGTTTGCTTAGAGACTGGTGGGATTGACCTTGTGGGAGAGAAATGAGACTCTGGGTTCAAGGGACCCACTAGATTCTCATAACACTCCGCAGATGAGGGAACTGAGGCTCCGGGAGGTGGGGTGACCTGTGCTAAGTCACACAGGGGCAGAGCCACGATCCAACCAAGGTCTAACTGAGGGCTGCCCACCCTCATCCCAGGTCATCCAAGGAAATCAGGCCCCCTGTCTGCAGAGGCATGGAGGAGCCAGCGGCTGGGCATGGGGGCAGGGCTGGAGGCTCTGCTGATGGCGCACCTTGGGGCACAGACCTCTCCCTGGGGCTTTTCTAGTTCTGACACAAAGGGCCAAAAAAAATAGCTTTCAGGATCAGCCCATGGTGGAAGGGTGGCAGGCTGGAGCCCAGAAGGTGTATGCCTGGGGTCCAGCCCTGAATGCAGATTTACCTGGAGAGGCGTAAGGCTGGATGGTCTGTCAGAATCTGAGTCCCGGCTGGTTTCCACTGCCCCTGCCCACCCAGGGGCCTCACCCTCCAGGGCCAAAAGGCAGCCTTGTGCACTGCAGGTGGGCCTGGGGCCTTCCTACCTGTCCCTGCCCCATCCTCCTGGAGGTGGGAGGGAGACACTGGAGGAAACAGAGTCCATGATAAAGTCCAGGGTGGGATGGTGGGTTAGAGCAGACACAAGTCCCACCTGGCCTGGGACAGTCCCACTTTATGCCTGTTGTCTGGACATGATTCATAGCTGTGTCCCCTTGCTCTCTGAAATGTCCTGGCCTGGACAGTCATTACAGGGTCATCTAAGGTGGGGTGTCCTCTAAAGAAAGGAGAACGAACACCAACTCACTTCTTATCAGTGCACAGGGGCCCTGGTACAATTTCCTTTATTTAATCCTCCCAAGCACCCTGAATCCTGAAGGGCTTTTCGCACACCAGCCCCTGTCAGAGGATAGGTAATAGATGTTCCAGGAAAGATCACTTCCTGGGCCAAGTGCACCTTTCATGTGCTAATCCGTGCAGCAGGATGGAAAAAAACACTGCACGCTGCCCCCGGGGCACCTCCAGCAGGAGGGCAGGCGGGAGATGAATCTTTGCAGCGCTCTCTTTGGATCACCCAGACAGGTGGGGGAAAGAATTTCATCACGTTTGAGGCAAAACAACCACTGTAAGAATAGCAATCATACATCTTCCACAGTGTTTTGTCGTATCGGAAATAGAAACCCAAAATCGATGGCCTGTTGTTTCGCCAGGCGGGAGGGAGGGTTTGGAGAACTCCCGCCTGGGCCCTGAGCTCAGTGTGGGGTGGGGTGGAGGGGGAACAGTGCAGGGAGGAGAGGGGCCCCATTGAGCAGAATCAGGAAACCAGAGGGCGCAGGATCACAGGGCCCTGAGCCCTGGGAGATCCAACATCCCACAGTGGCCGGCCTGGGGCTCAAGCCAGTTTACCTAATACTGAGGGCAAAGTGTCAGGAGGACCTGGGGACCCCACGGGAGACACGGGAGGCCTGGGTGCTCCTTGGTTCTGCACGAGGCACCTGAGTCTGTAGCATTGAGGCGGCAGCTGGGATTGCTCCCGATACCTCCCTCCCTCCTTCTGCTGCGTGACCCTGGCTCGGGCAAAGCACAGTTCCCAGTCCCTCTGATGCTGGATGTGGCCATGAACTCACATTGGCCAATGAAACATAGCGGAAGTGACAATTGCTAGTCCTGAACTGAGGCCTTAAAAGGCATAACTTGGTCATGAGCTCACCCTCCTTGCATTTCAGCCATGGTCCCTGAGAAGAACAGGGGTCCCCTGGCTCCAGGAGCAGCCCGAGGAGCAGCCCTGGAGCTCACCCAAGACCTGAAACAGAACCCCTGCCCCAAGCAGCCCACAGACTCATGAATGAGAAATAAATGTTTGCTGCTATCAGCCCCTGAGATTTTGAGGTCGTTACAGAGAAAAAACAAAAGCAAAAACAAAACACAAATGCAGTTACCCATGCAAATTTCACAGCAGAGTCCTTCTTCTAGAAGCACCTGCTGGCATCCTCAGCACACCCCGCCCCTCGGAACCTGCTGCTCCGGGCAGGGCAGGTTATTCTCCTGGCAACCAGGATGCCCTAGACTTCCCCACCAGCAAGAAATAAAGGGGCCACATTAACGTCAGGCAACAGCCCTCCACCCACCAGAGGACATAGAACCTCACTTCCTTCTTGGGTCTTCCCAGTGATCTCTGAGCACCCGTGGTGGGCGGGGCGTGTGCTCAGGGCTCCCTCTGCCCTCAGCATCCACCTGCCCTTCTCATGGGCTGCTCACCCTGCAGTGGGGCCTCCCACCTCTGCAGCAGTGCTAGTGTCTCCAGGAGCCTGCGCCTCTGCTGAGGGCTCGGGTCTCTCCCTGCTCCAATAGGCAGTAGCCCCCAAGGGCCCAGGAGGTGCTGGGCTGGCGGCCTGCTCTGGGGAGAATGCCCCGTCTCTTGTCTCTGGATGCTACCTGGGTCCCTGAACTTCACTGCTCAGGAGCTGAGCCTCACACAGCATGTCGTGAACACAGACACGCTCTGACCTTCACCGGTCTCCCCATGGAACTGGAAACCTGTCCCCGAGGCTGGGAAGAGAACTAGCATGATGCAGGCATCTCCCCCTCATCATCGCTTACACCTTTATCCGCAGGCACCTGCCTCCAGAAATAAATTCTCCTCTCCTCTTTTAATCCAAGGGATTTGAATAATGAAACAAGATACTTATGGGAGAGGTGATGTCTAAGTCTACATGCCAAGGGAAGCTGGGCCCCAGTTCCTGTTCATCCAGAACAACTCTGCCCATTTAACAGATGAAGAAACTAAGGCCCACGGAGGCAACTCAAGTTGCCCAAGCTTGCACTGCTGCTAAGGGACAGCGATGGGGATGAGCCCAGATCCCTGTGCTTCCAAAGAGCTTTTCTCCTCCCGTGCTTCTTAACTTTTCCTGGGGAAGAACCCTTGAAGTTTTGTGTTTACCTTCAAAATTCATGTGACTTTTGCAATCTACTCTGTGTAATTTCTGTCTTGATTCTAATCCAAAAATAAGGTTTACATTTCTTGCCACCTGAGACCAAAAAAAAAAAGTGCAGCTGCTTCTATAGTTTCATGGACCTGCTGGTGCAGTGCAGACCCCCAGGGGTAAGCCAGCCCCAGACTGAGGGTCCCAGAGGCACAGAACACACCGCCTGAGGGTCGGGGCAGAATGTGCTGGGGGCAGGGAACTAGGCTCATTGACTTGCTGTTAGAAGCTTAGGAGAATTAGGCCAGGGGGAGGGGAAGCACCTGGGTACCTTCTGCCAGCATGAGGATCAGAAATCATGGAATTCGCCTGGAAAACTAATGAACTTATCTTGGACTCTGATGTCTCCATTTTACAGGTGGGGAAACTGAGGCCTAGAGAGGGAAGACAGCCTGCCCAGAGTCACCCAGAAAAGTGGAGCTGAATCTGACCAGAATCTGGTCTCCTCAAGCCTGCTCCGTGGAGTCCACCATCTTCCATCCCCCAGGCCCTGCACTGGGCCTCAGCAGCCTCACTGGTGCTGGTGCTGGTCAGAAGTGGGAGGCCATGGGCTCTGTTCTCCAGGATCTCCCAGAGCAGGGATGGGAGGGAGGGGAGCAGGCCACCTCCCTCTACCCCCTGCTGAGCCACCTCCCAGCTGTGTGACCTCGGGCAGTAGCAACAACCTCTCTGAGCCTGGATCGCATCAGTTCTGAAACAGGGAGCGTGATAGTTGTATATGGTGAGGACCGAACGAGAGGAGACAGGTGGGCACAGATCGTGGTGCCCCACAGTGACGGTTCTGCACAGGTGACCTGTTATTTTCCTTATGATTTTGACAGTTGTCATCACGGTCATTCCTGGAGGCAGATTCAGGCTGAAGGAGGGTCTGGACGGTATTTAAGAGCCAGGCAAGAGCTCATCTGTTTGGGATCCAGGCAGGCTTCATGGAGGAAGCTACATCTGAGCTGGGCCCAGAGCACGCTGGGCAGGGAATGACATCTCAGCGCCGAGGGCGGAGGGGCCCAGCAGGCGGGAAAAGCCCTGCTCTGAGCTTGGCAGAGGGGCAGGCAGAGCCAGGGAAGGAACAGAGCTGCCAGTGGGACCTGCTGTGGGTCCAGGGCTTGTCACATGCAAACCACAGTCTCCTCCCCTGCTCTGAGCAGGGTCATGAGACGAGTGTCACGATCTCAATGCACACATGGGGAAACTGAGGCTCAGAGAGATTAAGTAACTGCGCAACCCAGAGAAATAGTTAACCCAGTACTCAATACAGGGCTGGTACGTGTTATTATTCTAGCGTAGGGGTAACAATGGGCCTTTGTGAGCTCCTACTGTGTGCTCTAATCTAGAGTGAAGCTTTCCCAGGGCCCTGCACCCAGTAGGTCCAGCTTGCTCTGGAGCCAGTAGAGTTGTGATGAAAGAATCACAGAAGACAGGCTCTCTCTTCATGGGAATTCCTTTCTGCCTGCTGTTTCCTCATCCAGACTGAGTTGGAAGTAGGTGGACAAACCAGACTGAGGGCCTACTGTGTGCTGGTAGGTTGCCTTGTCTGATTTCACTGAACCCTCCTGGTAGCCCAGGGAGGGCCCACCATCGTCCCTGCTCTGCTGATGAGAAAACAGGCCCAGCGAGGAGGAGATCCCGCTGCAGAGCACACAGTGGGGACGGGGAAAGCCTGCACTTGAACCTGGCGAACATGGTCTGGAAGACTCCACCTGCCCCTTGGGCCGACCTCTCAGAACCCCCACCCCTGACTCTCTCTGACTGTGAAGGCGCATATGTGGATGAGACTAACGGAGCAGGGGGCTTCCTGGAGAAGGTGGGAGATCAAGGTGGGCCCTGACAGATGCGTGAGACCAGAGAGGTGGGCACAGGCAGAGACTGGTAGGTTCAGGGGCAGGTACGGACAAGGCAGAGAAGAGAAGGCTGGCCAGGCTGTGTGGAGGAGAGGCTGGGAGTGCCTGTCCAGGGTGCAGGCTCTGTCTCAGGGCTGGGGGACCAGGAAGGTGGCGGTGGATGGGCCAGAGGCCTCAGGGAGAAGACAGACTGAGTTCTCAAAATCGCATGGCTGGCCCAAGACAGACTCGACCTCTCAGGGACCTCCCTCCTGGCATCCAGCAGGGGCCTGGGGCTCTGGACAAAGCTGACTGTATTCCTCCCTCCCCCTCCCTTTTTCTTCTCAGCCCTCTGCCGCATGGCCTAGCCAGGAGGGTTCAGATGCAGCCAAGATTGTGCTGCACTGAACTGTAGATTATTACGGAGGCATGACAGTGTTTCAAATGGTCCAGCGAATATCGGAATGTGATTAGAGGTGCATCCATCGGTTCACCGCGCTATGTACTGCGTACCCGCTATGCTCCAGGCGCCATGCTGGGCCCTGCTCCTTCCTTTACAGCAGCCACCAGTCCCGGCCGGCCTGTGCTTGGTGCAATGTGGGGACCCTCATCTATCGTCCCCAACCAAGAAGGGGGGACCACCACTGTCCTTGTTCTAATAGTGGGAAGTTTTAGACCCAGAGGGCCTGACGGTCCTCTCCAGGGAAAGTCCCGGGGCAGGCGGGGAAGCAGAAGGGTGTCAGGAGAGGGCAAAGCCCCTGCCAAGAACCTCCCCTGCCCACCCTACCCGCCAGACCCCCCACTTCTGGACCTGTGGGCAAGGATCTGGTAAAGGCGCTTGCTGGGGACAAACCTGGAGGAAGGAGGCTGTGGAAGGAGCCACAGAACATCCAAGATTAAATGCCCACAAGCCTGAGCTACCCTCCCAGGTCCGGGGTGGCTCTCTGCTCCTCTTCCTCTGACTGAGGGGCTGCTGCTCATTTCCTCTGTCCCTGGGCCAGCCCTGGACAGACACATGGAGCCCAGCCTGCTGGAGCTGCTGCCCAGACACGGGCACACCTCTGAGACAGTGGGGAGGAGCTGGGGCAGCGCTAGAGGCTGGTGTGTGTGTGTGTGTAAGAGGAAGACATACACACACACACACACACACACACACACACACACACACACATACAGATCAGAGAAAGAGATTCTGAAACTCAGAGGGAGACAGAAAGTGAATCAACAAGGGAAAACAGAGACACAGAATAGATAGATTTCTGGCCACAGCAGTAGGAGGAGGAGGAGGATTAAAATCATCTGGTCCAAACACCCCCGCTCCCATCATACAGATGAGGGAAATTGAGACCCAGAAAAGGCAGGAGCCAGGAAAGAGGGAGCAGGAAGGAAAGCCCAGGTTTTCAGGCCCTGCCCTGCACTGGCCCCTCTGGATCTCAGCTGCACTGAGGGGGCCCTGGGTCAGCTCAGCCTTCGCTATGTTCCCCAGGCTCCTCAGCACCCATAACCCCCACATCCAAATGGAGCTTTTCAAAAGCAAAGACACACTGCTGCTGATGTCAGACCTGGAATCACATTGTGCCCTGAAAAGGCCTCTGGGCAGTAGGGCCCTGGGCAGGGAGCCGAGAGCCCCGGAGGCCGGCAGGGGCCTTGCAAAGATCCGAGTACCCCTGGAGTGCCTGCTGTGTAAGAACGTGGCTCATCTAATTCTCACAACCACCCAGAGAGATGCAGCTTGATATCCACAATTCACAGGTTCAGAGAGGTTAAGCAACCTGATCAAAGCCACACAGTCTTTAAGAGCTGGAGCCTCGTCTAAATCAGGGTCTGCTGATGGCTGGGTCCTGGATACTCTGTTATCAGGGTCCCTTCAAGCCAGGGTGCTGGGGACAGAACACCAGCTCAGGCCCCAGCCCTGCCACACCTGCCTTGTCCACAGGCTAGGTCTTCACCTCTCTGAGCCCTGAGAAGTGGAGGCTTGATGCTTCTTACCTTACAGACGACTGAACCGTCATTGGTGCAAGATGCCTGCCCCACAGTAGACGCTCAGCCCCCACTGGTCCCTGACTCCCCAGCTCCGACCGGCTGTGGCCCAATAACCACACCTCCAGGCCCTGTCCCCTCCTCTGAAGAATGAGGAGCTGGTCCGAAGCCTCTCCTCCTGGGTAGTGCCCTGGTGTCCAGGAAGCAGGGCTTCCTTGTCTGCTCCTCCCTGAGAGCCCCGGCTCTGCCAGGCAAATTTGGCATCAATTTCCTGGCCAAGCAATGTCCTACCAAATCCCACTTCAGGCAGGTGGCCTGGGGAGCTGCAGGCCAGCTGAGGGGTGGTCACCCCAGGCACATGCTGCCGCAGTGAGTGGGTGAGACCTCAGGCTGGACAGTTCCTTCAGCTTGGCAGCCTTCCATGGGGATCCCAGCCCAGGGCCACTTCCCACAGCCCTGCCAGCAGCTGGGGGCAGGCGCCCATTCCTGGAGCAGAGTCTGGGGGTGCATCACAGTGTCCATTGCTTTCCTTGGTATCTTTGAGCCTCAGTTACATGTCTGTAAAATGGGTGACCATTTGTACC